CCCAAAGCTTCGTGTTGACCACACGGTGTTGCACGTTATATGGTGTCCCCTTCACACACACACACATACAAACAGACACACACACTCGCAGACACACTCATACGAGTGCAAGTGAAAACGTTGGGAAATTTAAAGCGGAAGTGCGCGTTTTATGCCCTTTTTGGCTTTTATTGTTAGCTGCGTTTCCGCTCTTAGCATTTTTTGGCACAATGCACGCCCTGCCACGCCTTACCTTTTACATTTCCGCTTCCGAAATGCGCGCGACTCTTTAAACTTTATGAAACTGCATTTGCTTTAAGAGCTTCGCCAACTTCCCAACACAGCAGCCGCTCAACTTTTGTTCCACATTTGCTATGCCATGTTAAACAGCAATGAGAGAAGCTAACAAAATGATACAACAACAACAACAAAAATCTAACTGCAATTGGAGAAAACGAAATCGAAGAGCTGGGAGCAGGCAACGCTCCAACTGTGGACAGCCAAATGGCGATGGCCATAATTTCTACCATACGACAAAAGCGCTCAACAAAAATAGAACGAAAGGAGCCAAAGACCGAAAGAGAGAGAGAGAGAGAGATGGAGAGAGATACAGGCAGAGTGAAGGAGAGCGCACAACACGAAAACTTTTGATAATTGCATTCCGCAAGCGGCTTCGACTTGAAGCGGCCCACATAATAAACTCCGCGACGAAACGGACGTAGGTGGAGGAGCAGCGGAAGTCCATGAAGTAGACCTAACCCCAAAAGTATCTACAGTCTGTGAAGCTTTTGGCGCTGCATCAACACCAGACAACAAGACAATCAGCGGCGTCTGTGAGCCACATAAAATAACCGAAAAGTAATTCGCCACCAAAGTAAACTTGAGCACACAAAAGTCGAGTTTTAAAATAAACTTGCTGCAAACTGTATTTTTCTTATGAAAAGGGTAGCCCTGGGGGAGCTGGGTGGAGGAGGAGGCCGGTCCGAAGTCGGAGCACTCGAGGCACAAAAGGCGCATTTTATATAAAAGAAAAGTGGCTAACTAAGTCGACGACTACGCTCAACGTTCCACGTTCCAAGTTGCACGTTGCACGTTGCAAGTTGCACGTTGCAGCTGTAGTTGCTGCTGAGTGGCCTCTGCTCAAGAGTCATCTATGACCGGTCGCAACTGGTCGCACCACCATCACCAGTTAACCACCAGCCCACCATGCCGGGAACCGCGCTGCGGTTCTCTTGCTGATTGCACCATCCGAGCGAGCCGCTGAGTGAGCACAAAATTGAGTGGAGGAGTCCACTTGAAAGCTGAAATTTAAGCTGATTTCGTTTGGAATTTTGTTTCTGATGCCGTCTCCCACCCACAAGTGGCAAAGTGTTGCCTACTTTCACAAGAGACGACATTGTTCGAAAAGAGTTTCACATCTCTCATAGATAGATAGATAGCTGGGGTGACATTCTGCAACTGATGAGAATAGTTATTAAAGTTAAAAAGAAAACTACAAACTCACATTAAATCTAAAGAGCAGTCATCGGAATGAAAAGAGTTGCGATAGTAAAGCGAAAAAAGTTAATAGACAGACAAATATTTCAAGTCTAATAACTATACTACACCGAAGGAAAGACAATTTAGTATATTCACTATACAGGTGCATATTAAAATACTAAATGAGAATATTAAAAACTTCACATGGATATTATAATTTATATAAAATATACACAGTATAAAAAATGTCCAAGTTCCGACTGAAATGTAGATAAGCGATTATCCTTACCATTTACAGCTTGCTTTTCTTGTTTTCTTGTGGGTCAATGCGAATGCGAATGACATCGGATGATGACAGTCCAATAATATGACTAAGCACACCCCACGCACCACTTTATTAGAGCTGAAATATGCTTCATGGCTCTTGTTGCTGTCGCATTTAAGTATGCAACACATTTCGCTTAGCCGGGCCATCAAGATGGTATCGGGAGTGTTTAGTATGGCGGACACGTAGCGAACGCACATTCAGCTTAAATACATGGATAAAATGTTGGACATTAAGCCCAAGGGAGAGCAAGCAGATATTCTATGATATTGCCAAGGTAGCACAAGATATCTATATATACATATATATTTATATCAATGTAAACCGAAAATAGCAAAGCGAACATTTTATTAAAAATTTGCTGACAAATTTTACGCTTAACTTGGCTTAAGCAATAATAAAAAAAATAAAAATAATAATAATAATATGACTAAAATTGAAATTGAAATTCTTTAAAGCTGAAAATTTCGCTCACATGAAACGGGATTGCTTAAGCTTAAGCTAAAGCTGCCAGTGCAACGACTGCTGGCTGCAGGACACCAGGACACCGGGACGCCAGGACTCGAGCAGTCTGTGTGTGTGTGTTGGTGGGCAAACATTTTTATGCAAAAATATTTTGCATGTCACTACCGAACGGGCAAGGGGCCGCATGTGTTGCCAGGCTGTGTATTTGCCGCAGACTTTTGCATGCATAACAAGTCAGCACGCGACGTCGGAGCAGGCGGAGGAGAAGCGAGCAAACAGTGTAAAAAAAACGAACACACACACACACACACAGTGGCAGACAACGGGCTGCAGTGTGAGGGAACTGTGGGCTGGTGCAGAGGAAAAGGCAACGCCGTCAGCGCACAGGAAACGCATACAAAACTTTAGCGGGTGTCCCGGCGCATTTCGTAATCTTTGCAAATAAACGCGTGAAATTCCAAGGCGCACCGCAGTGGAACATGTGCTGCAACAAAGGGGCGTTGGTTAGCGCGGTGTTGCCGGCTCAGTGGGGGGTCCGGTGGGGGGCTGCGTTGGCTCCAGGAGGTGCCAGCCGGTCGGCATGGGACGTGGCAGCGTTGCGTTGCCGCCATTTGGTCGACATGTGCCGCGCCATTTTGGCACACAGCTCACACGCGAAATTGCGCATTCAGATTAAAATTCTTGAACGCGCATTTCCGTTTCCGTTTTCTGCGTAGAGTAGTCGGATATGCCGAGCATTTTCCTTGGCAGCACCGCTCGTTACACGCTTCTGACTTTTGCTCTGACATGCACGGCTACTGTGGCTCTCTCTGGCCACTATTTTTATTTATTTTCATTTTTTTGAATGGGTGCTGCGGTTCAACGCAACCTTGAAGTGACCCCAGACCAGATAAACCTGCATGACATTGGACTTCTGAGCGAAGCAATCAACCATCAAAGCGATTGCTCACGAATTTAATGGAAGTTTGAACTCTCTGGGGGATTGTGAAATGCAGTTGTAATTTATATGATTAATTGGCTTTAAATTATTTTTCAATAATTATTTTAATATTTTTTATTGTTTTATTATTTTATATTTAGTTTATTTATTCATATTTATATATTCATTATTATTGCCCATTTTTTTTCGTTGCATTTTTAATCTTCATTTCATCAGGACATTTTTTTAGGTAGTTATGTTTATGTTTCATAAATTGTTATATATATATATACAAATATTTAACAATATATAAAGCCAGCAAAATGTCTTTTGCATATGTAATTGTATTTATACGTGGGCTGTGTTTGCCAAATAGAGCAAAGCGTACGTAAGTCGAGCGTTTGCGTATGCGAAGGTGAAGATATTATATTATAAGATTTATAGTGTCGCAACTCTCTCTACATGATGTTCATAGAGCGCAACATGAATAGTTCAACTCAAAGCGCTGAGCAGAAAACGAAAAACGAAAAGAAACGAAATCTCTTACTCCAAAAGAGAGCGAGCTCATGTTTGATCGGCTGATTTCATAATAAATCAAGCGCTCAACATCCATTATCTATTTGAAAGCAATGCATTTGATCAGCTTTGAATTGGACTTTGTGTGTATTTAAATTAATAAATCATTTTTAATCCGTTGTCTATTTTATTCCTGCTATAACCGAAAATCAACAAATTGCAATTCTGCATCAATTTCAATACGTTAGCCATTTGAATATTGGGATATATTTCAATTAAAATACTAGCATTCAGTTTTATTTACTTACCAACGGTTGAATGTATTATTTTGTTATTTTGAAAATTTATTGTTTGATCTAATTGAAATTTGTAAATAAAATGAATTTCATTTTGTTATATCGTAAGCCACAGCTCCACCAGTTATTATGCACAATTTATATTAACAAATCGCGGATAACTAACGAGCATGTTTGATATTTGATTTACTGGCCTATTTACAGTTTTTATGCATTATTTCACTTTATTATTTTGTATGATGCAGTAAAAACTAAACAGTTTTTAAATATATAAAAAATTATGAACAATTTAAAGCGCATTTATAGAGCTTAGCCGTGATTTGACAGAAGTCTTTAATAAATATTTGAACAGTGCCTTCACAGCTTAGCTGAGATTCCGTTGGCACGCCTGGTCGTATGAGTAATATGGGCTGCCTAATGGCATATCACTCATACGCCTCATTGCATTAAAGAGCAAATCGCAAGTCGCTTGCTATGCAGAACCTGTCCTGGTTATCCTATTGGAGCTCAGGCCTCACACACACTCGCACACGCTTTATTTGGCCAGCAAACGCTCAGGGTCAGGCTGCTGGCCCCAACCGTATTGCGTCGTTCTTTCGCTCCCGAAACTCGGATGCCCCAAAACGCACATCAAATAAAAGAAATGGCTTTGTTTGCTGCTTGTGGCATAGAATATCAAGCTGATAAGGGCCAGCAGAAACAGACTCGGCCACCGACTCTAAAGACAGCCGACTCAAGCTCCAGCAGCTGAGTGTTGGTTGGTGAGGTTGGTTGGTGAGGGGAGGGGGGTGGGGTTGGGCCATTGGTGAGGATTTGAAGGCGTTGTGTGTGCTGGCGCATAAATAATGTGACCTGCCTGACTGCGATTATCTGTGAACTATTTTTCACACGTTGCCGGCATACAAAATGGAGCATTCGTTTTCAACAAAGCCAATGCGGCAAATATATGAGCTGGCTGGCTTAGTGGGGCCACTTGCCGCATTAATTTGGTCATGTCTTATTGAGAGTTTGCTCTACTTACATTGTACTAAAATAATGAACAATAATATCCAGAGGCGTCGATCGAATGTCGGTCTCATGACTTCATCACTTCTCCAAACTTTGTCCAATGTATTTAACCTGCCGATGCGCTTCAACTTTCCGCTCACTGCCACATGTGTGAGGACCTGCAATAATAAATGAGAGCACAAATACGCATGATTAATGGTTAGGTTCTGCTCAAAATATTTAAGCCAATTAAATCGGACCAAGCCGAATTTTACACACAATAAATCCAACAAACGTTGCCCGGGGCAATCTCCACTCTTTGAGGGTCAACACGAAAAAGGAAAAAACAAAGCGCAAGAGGAGAAAATTAACAACTGTTTGCACATAAAATTAATTAATTTTGAACAAAAAACTTTGCGTTGCATAACGTTAGGCGGATTAACTACAGGCAGCCGGAGCGACCAGGGCTGCGCCATATAGAGACATCAGACATCAGTGGATTTTCGACAGCATTTTGTCTGCAGTGTTTGAAGTGCAGCGCAAACAAAGCGACAAATGTTACGAGACGAAACGTGTGCACACTTTTCTCAAACACTGTGCAGCCTGTGTGGGCGTGCCTCACCAGAGTGCATGTGTGTCTGTGTGTGTGTGTGCTACACAAGGCAAACAAAATTAACAGCAAAGCTGACGTAGATTTTAACGAATTGACGTTGTTTCGTTGTCCCCGTCGATCCGGCTATCCGGCTATCCAGTTACCCGGTTGCCGTGTCCCATCGCCTGGAATGTGCCTCATAATCCCATCGTCCACAATTAAGTTGTCTGCCACTGCCGATGGCTTAGTTATGAATGTGCTCGGCTATCCACTGAGACGGCTAGAGCTTGAATTATGCAAGATGCAGCGTTGCCCGCTCGCACACAGCAACTGATTGGTCTAAGTCAGAGTCGGACGTAAGATTGTACAACTTGTTCCTGATTAAGCAAATCTGTTGTCCAACAACAGCTGCATAGCACTAGCTGGTAAATAGTTTTCAAGCCACACAGTGACTTGTGTTCTTGGAAGCAATAACTACTTAATTACGGGTTTCTAGTTGGCTCCTATGGAGCATTTACTTCATGAAGCAACAAGTTGTTGATATCGTAGCACATTGCGTTTACAATGCAGTTAAATTAAATTTTAGATAATAATTTAGAGATAATACTTTACATAATGCTTTGTGGGTTTAAGTCTCCTATTAAATATCTGAATTATTCTTAAGCCGAAGGAAGACGCTAGCCAGCGCATAAATTTTAAGTAAGCCGTTTTTGTATATTAAAAACAATTGTAATGAATTTTATTTATTCATTATTCCTAAATGGCACACTATATTTTTTATTACATATATATTTTACCCATTTTAAAAATCCCTTCATATTAAAGAGTATAAAATTAAATAATTAAATTTAAAAAATTTAATATATTTTAAAGACTTCCTTATATATATATATATTTTTATTTTTACTGTAAATATTTTTTTCGTTAATTTAAAAAAAAATATTATTAAAGTTAATTATTTCGCCCTTCTATTCACAGACTTTACATTAAATAATATTATTAAATTATTGAAATTATTATTACAATTTCTAATGAAACTTTTATATTATATTCCCATTTTCAATTTAATTTTAATTGATTTTAAATTTTTACTGGCAGTCAATTTTATTAAATTGATTTTCTAATAAATAAATAAAAATGTTAAACTTAATTATTTTTCCCATTTATGTCAATTATTTGGCATACATTTTTTTTATTATTATTTCTTTGCGTTATTATTTTTTGTACTTTTTATGTTTAGTCTACTCTCAAACCCTGATTGATTTTAAGGCAATTGTATTTAAATTAGTGTCTATTATAATTTTTAATATATGTATTTGTTTGTTCTTTTTTTTGTTTTCCAATCAATTTAATTGGCGAATCAAATTGAGTTTGTATTAAATTATGTTATTAGACATAAAAGAAGATAAAAAGAATTTAATTACAAATTTAGTTCTCAGTCTGCAGGTAGCTATACTATTTTTTCGGTATATTGAAGTTCATCATAATTGATATTTACTTTATTGAGTTTTTCCCATTAAAGTAGTAAAAGTAAAGAGCAAGTAAAGAAATTTGTTAGCCCATTTGAGCGTAATGAAAATTGCATTAGCAGCAACTTGGCCAACTGTGAACGAATTTAGTTTTGGGAAAAGCACAAATAAGTGACACACTTGCAGCTATTTGTGTGTCATGTTCGACATTTAGTTAGCTGCCGAAGCCAACATATTGTAATGCAACCAATGCCAGACGACAATCGACAGCTGGCAGTAACAACAATGTTGTCGTTCGGCAAACATATCACGCGATCAATTTGTCAAACAAGCAACAATAGCAGCTGCTGCTGCTGGTGGAACAACAGCCCAGCATAAATGAACTAAGCAGTGCATTGATGAGCGCACTGACAAACTGAACGAATGAACGAATGAATGGACAGAGAGACAAAAACAACAATTGTGGCCAAGCCAAATTGACAGAAACAGCGACAACATTTGACGCACATCATCAATATGTGACTCTGACTATGTGTGTGTGTGTGTGTGTCAGTGTTGCTCTTGTTGTTGTTGTTGTTCTTTTTTGGCTTTTGACATGTCACACAGCTGTCATTATGCAAGACGAAACCCTCGCAAACAAGGCCAACGAAGTAACTATTACATGGCAATTGTTTGCTGGCTGAACAGACTTTGAAAACAGTTGACTTGGAAAAGGGACACAATCTCTGTGTGTGTAAAATGAGCTAAAAGTTTAGATATGCCTTCCTATATAAATCAAACACATGGCACTGGCCCGAACACCGTCCCAGGCACTGGCCATTAGCGACAGGTGTTGTTGTTTAAGGGCAACTGCACAAACGGCAGCCAGTCGCCGCATTTTTCTCACGTCTTTGGGACAAGCTGTTGGCAAATACTAAAAACCGCCTGGCCATTTTATTTATGGCCAAAATGTGAAGTCTGTTTGTTTATTGGCTTTGAAAAGTGTGTGGAAGAAAAGCTTAAAAAATGCTGAATTTAAAAACAAATCCCAGCTTTGGTTACCTATAAGTATTTTTGCTCTATATACATACATGATTTATGTGTGTGTGTATGTGTTAAATAAATAATATAAATCCCATCAAGGCTGGCCCACTTGGCAGGCACACAAATTGTTTAAAACAAACCAATTATGGCAGCTTACGAGCCTTGCTATCCATTTCGAAATTAACCGTAAAGCGCACAATTTATAACAAAAACCTCAATTAAAATAAAAGCCTGCAACACTAGGCGAAAGATTTTAAAAGAATATGTATCTAACGTATACAAACATATGAATGAATATGTGTGCATATAAACCTTATGAAATTTATTTCATAATATCCACAATAAACAACAATGGCAACAACAACAACAAGAAAAATCTGCAAAATTTAATTGCCGCAATTTTAAAGCCACAAGCGACTGGCAACAACAGCCAGAATATATCTATATAAACACAAGCATGCAGCATCACAATAATCACAATGCTCACCATCATCAGCATCATCGCATCATCATCATCGTCATCCTGATGATGATGTGGCAATGCAACCAATGCATAAACAATAAATGCCAATGGTATGTAAATTTTTGCCAATTTACCGCAACAATGCAAAACTATCTGAGCTAGTCAAGTGGGCTGCAACTGGGCGTGGCATGCTCATGCATTCTGTGTTTCTGCATATATATATGTGTGTGTGTGCGAATTTTGTGTAACGTTGTAAAAGCTGCAAATGTGTTACACACGAATATTTTTTGGTTAACCACCAAATAGCAAAAGGTTTGCGCAGGCAAGGGGCATCGGTTGGGTTGAACAGCGCAAACAGTTGGCAGACAAATTAAATTTACATGAAACTCGTAAAAGTCGCTGGCAATGGAGAAACAATGAAAATCAATGCTAGGTGGAATTTAAGTATATAGGACTAACAGATATCCTGTATATGAAGAATCCTTTAAATATATAAAATGGAAATAAATAAAAAACAAAAAATTAAATAAAGAAATAAAATATAAATATAATAACGAAAATTAAATTAAAAAATAAAAATAATAATAATATTTTTGCGAAAACGTATTTGTGAATAGTATTTATTCTTTTGGATAAAAAATATATTTTAAAATTAAATATTAAAAATTCACTTATTTTATATATTCATAATCATAACAAGTTTTCAGAAATGGGCTTCAAATGTATTACAAAATATAAAACTTATAAAAATGCATTGTACTTAAATATTTATTATAGTATCAGTAAATTTGTACTAAACAAATTTCATTTCTTTTAATTCTTTAACGTCATAATCATCTAGTTATACAACTTAAAAATTCAGGAATAAATACGACTTTCGCTAGCAAAAATTTGAACAAAAAACAAATAAAGAAAAATATATAATTATTATTTATTAAAATATAAAAATTATGCACAGATTCAGCACTTCATAATATTAAAAAATAAAAATAAAAAATATATAAATAATTATTATCCTTTTCCCACCAAAAATTTTCCAACTTTCGTACTTAAATCAGCATAGCTACTCGACTTACTTAACTACAGAGGAGTATATTACTTGATTTTACAACGTTGTACTTGTCTGCTGCCATCGCTTTCAATTAACAACCGAACAAAAAGGAAAAAAATAAAAATAAAATAAAAACATTTCGAGTGCTGTTAAATTTCAATGTGAGTTCATCTGTCGCTTTAATTTGCATTGCCTACTTATTGGCGCTCGGCAATTGCTTTATCATACAGTGCTTGAGAGCTGGCGGTGTTATTCGACTGCGGTTGCCCCACTGATTGTGCAAATGAAATGGATGAGATGCACAACAACAGAAAATTTACTAAAAAATGGCTGAACATTTTTGCAATGCATATATTAAGGCACTGCGACAGCTACTTGCACTGCGCGTAATCCATTTTTATTACGTTTTTTTTTTTTTGTTTGGTTTGGCGTAATTAAAATTTGTGTTATTATTTGCTTTTAATTTCGCAAATTTAATTGCTCAGCTTTTCGAACTAATGCAGCGTGGCCTAATTTATATATTGACGTCAACAAACGAGCGGCATGATTGACAGCGAGCTGCTATAGTTTGATGCAACTTG